TCTGTTAAACTACGCATGCTCACTTTACCTTTATTTTTCCTTTCCTAAGCATCTTGTTTGTTGCTTGACATTTTGACAAAGAATAAATTATCATAATATTTTACTCATAGATCCTACGCATTAAATTATACATTAATAGGTAAACTGGATGTATGTAGTTTTTCTTCTGGTGCAAGTCCAACTGTTCCTACAAAGACTCATGGATAACAAATAGCACCATTCTCGCGGAAACCCTTACAATATATCATATTATTGGTTACTATCAGTGAAATATTTTATAATTCAATTATTTTTCCAAAATGTATCTTACAATTACTGATATTATACATTGTCATGCGTATTGTGCTTTATATTGGTTTCTTAAACTGTCATTGGTGATATTCTAGACCCCTGCCCAAACATCATGACATCGTGTGTTATAGACAACGCTTAGTGATGTATATTTTGTTTTAAACCGACTTAAAACGAAATTACTAATTAATTATTATTTCGTATAATTATTATAGTAATTTTTGATAATCAATTCAATAAATATAAGTTCACGTACGAAATAAAAACCCACTAAAACTGTGTGTATGTATCTTTTAAGTGTCAGGTTTTACCGAAATAATCAAATTGTTCATTTTGACATTACATGTTATTGACGTAATATTTTGTTTGTTTGTAGTTAAGCACAAAGCTACACAAAGGGATATCTGTGCTCTTCCCACCACGGGTATTGAAACCGGTTTCTAGCGTTTTAAGTTCGCAGACATACCGCTGTGCCACTGGGAGGCTTGATGTAATATACTCTGGGTATTACGTGTTTCTTCTATGACTACTGACATGAGGACTGTTTTATTAATACACCAAAGAATCAACCTTAATTATTTTCTTATTACTATCGAAATTTGTATCGACCAGGTCATGAGTTATGTCAATACTGATGTATTGTTTGTTTATACCCCTCTCTATGAGGGTGGATTAATAAAGAAAAAAAATACACCAACGTTTGTAAGGTCGAAATAATTTATTTAATGGAAACAACCTATCTCTAAATAGTAATTTATTAAGGCTGCAGTAAAACGATCCTGTATGACCAAGAATTAGGAAGATGTGGCGAAGTAGAACCCTCCATTTAGGTGGGAAACTAGCTACTGTTTACCTAAACCATTACGTGTGGCCCCTATTGATACAGCGGTGTGTCTGCAACTTACAACGCGAGAACCGGGTTTCGACACCCGTGGCGGGCAGAGCACAGATAGCCCTTTGTGTGGCTTTGTGCTTAACTACAAACAAACAATTATGTCTGCCTACATACTCCATAACAAAACTAAAAGATCGATGTAGACAAAACAATGTTTATGTATAAAATGTGTATATTGACGAGTTAAATGCGCCCAAAATAACCTGTGTTCTATTTTTTGGTGTTACTGATGATTTATTTATTCGTCATCTGTGTCCAAGAAACATCACTGTAGCACATAAACTCAGTGACTTTTTCCTGGTTTTTGTCTGTGGAATGAAATTCTCCAATATTTCCCGTGCTGGGAACACGAAATATAAAATTCGGTGACTTTTCTCGGTTTCTCTGGCCCTTAAGGATTCATGAAAAATATTTTTAAAGACACAATTGCGTAAATTAATGAATTAATCTTAGCTGTAATACTTCGTTTCAAACAGTAATAATAAACTACACTGGACTAAGATATCCATAAATATGAAATGTTAATTTAAGTTTGAAATACAGTAGAACGAATTTTCTTTTTTACAAAATAATGTAAAAACATTTTATATTTTAAGAGTTACAGTTTTCAACTTGAACGTTATATAATGCGCACGCGCGATAAACGACTGGTCATAATCTCCTAAGAATCACCGTTAGCCGTCACTATTTTTGAACTGCTAACTTGAGAGAGGGAAGCCAACTAGTAACAACAGTCGTCACAAGATCTTTGCTCGGTTGTTTAGGCCGAATACCGTGTTTGACTGCCATTTTTATAACGCTGAATGTGCGAACCGTCTCCAGTACAATGACGTCTCACCGTATTTTAGGAAGAACAAAATAATGTCATCTGTCTGTACCCATAAGCATTATTAAAGATATATAGTTATCATACGCGGAAAAGTAATTATTTTGCCAACACCAATATATAAAAAACAATTCTAGCTAATTGGAACACCACAAGTGTGAAAACATAACTTTAAAGAGTTTTAGTGTAATGAAACAAAACAAAAGAAAATGTGTTAATGACGTACACAGTTAAAAAAAGTAATAGAGACTATTGTATCTACACTAGAATGAAACTGTAATCAATGTTTCACTAGTATTTGATTACATGTAAATATAAAGTTGGGTTACGAAGCTGTTAGCAGAAGAAAATCATATATAATTTTGTAGTGAAAGAGAAAACTTTAACTTTTAAATCAACGAAGGTTTAGCCAAAAATTACAGTGAAAGTTATTTACACCTCATAACTTTAAAAGTAGATTTTGTTCGCAGATTTAGTCTTTTCTCTTACTGAATCTTTTAATAATTTTTCTTTTAATTTCACATAAAAGACAACAACAATAAATCAGAGTAACAATTTTACTGCATGACCTGAATACATGTAATCAGTACTTAGCATATACTCACCAAAGATATCTAAATGTTTGTTTTTTTTAGTTCTTATCCAAAATTAACTATTCAATACAAAAGATTCAAAATATGATTCAATTTTATTTTACTGCAAAAACGAAAAACAAAGCATAAACAGTAACAACTACAACAAATGTGCTAACTTTAAATGCTATGAAGTCAAGCAGTATTTATTTTTTCTGTAGTATATATACATCACCTGACTGCTTTTAATTCTTCAGAGATTCTTCTTCTTCTCTCTCATGAGTACAAGTAGACCATGTTTATTAATAACCTGATTAACATTTTAGCAATACCAGTTTGTCAAGATTGAAGGTTATATTTGTTTGTTGAATTTCATGCAAAGCTTGTTTGTTTGTTTTGAATTTCGCGCAAAGCTACACGAGGGCTATCTGCACTAGCCGTCCCTAATTTAGCAGTGTCAGACTAGAGGGAAGGCAGCTAGTCATCACCACCCACCGCCAACTCTTGGGCTACTCTTTTACCAACGAATAGTGGGATTGACCAACACATTATAACGC